AATGACATTTATTATGAGAATATGAAATTGAGTGGAAATAATGAAATTGGCTCATTATAAGGTAGAATGGTGGAGTTGAATTCATTAATCACTCACCTTTGAAAATGTTGATAAAATATCTATTGATATAATTATTATCTGTTTAGAAATAATTGCTTTGGGCTATTGGTGGAGGGTAGTCTTGATTGTTGTAGACATTGCATGATGATTAGGTGAATTAAAACTAATCAATTGAATATGTCATTGAATATGACGGTTGGAATAATACATCAAATTTGTGTATTGATTGGTTATGTATATGATTTATGCTTATATACATTGTGTTGTGTGAGAGGAGATAATGGATGTACTCCACGGTTTAGGGGAAGATAGGGGATGGACTCCTAAACCGGATATTCTTTGGGAGGAGATAGAGGATGAGCTCCATTGATACAGCAAATCTGTGTATCTATTGAAGTGTTGATACAACAAATATGTGTATCTATTGTGAAGTATAGAAGTGTTTTATGTGATATTGATACATCAAATATGTGTATCTATTGTAAAGTATGGAAGTATTGTTGATATGAGCTATAGTCTCATTAAATTATTGGCCAGGTTCTGAGCCTTATTCATAAATTGAGAACTGGATAAGTAATGAAAAATAGAAGGAAACATGGACATATTTGTCATGTAATTGAAATGGATTATGAATTGATTTATGTGAGTTAAACATTTATCAAATGTTCACGTTTTAGTTATTGCTCATATTATGTTTAGCATATCTCTACTGGGCGTTGGCTCACCCTATATGGGACATCGTTTTTAGGTATAGGTGCTATGCCACCTCCAAGGACGTAGCTTGGGAGGCTTGAGGCTGTTAGATATTTTTTGTTGTTTTTGTTGTATTACATGTATATCAAGCCAAGGGCTTACTTTGTGTAGAGTTAGTACTCTCATTTTGTAACCAAGTGTTGACTTGGAAAGTTGTAAGCCTATAGGGCATTTACTTTTGTTGTCAGCATGTAATACCTTTTGTAAGAATACTCAGATGATTGTAATATGAAATCTCTTTTCTTTATCGTGAATGTATGATGTTATGGGTTTATTTTGAGGGCGTTACATAAAGGAGTTTAATATTGGTATTAATCATGATGTTATTAACATTATAATTTAATAATTTAATAATCACTATTAATTGACTTAATATTATTATTAACAAATTAATTAGTTGTCTAAAAATTCAGGTTCTTACAAGACTAATCCAAAACTCGACATCTTTCGAGCACAACTCACAACTTCATCGTTGTATGAGTAAACAATATCAACCCTAAAGCTAGGAAAACCCAAGTCGTTTGACAAACTGTAAATGATGTGAATGAGATCATCGTTACTATCCATGTCTTGAATGACCTCAGAAATGCTAGTGAAGTGGGGAGGCCTGAAAATGGTGGTAGCGTAGATTTCATCACATACGAGGTGGATGTTGCTTTCATTGATGAAATTCACCAAGCTTTTGAGAGTGTCTTTGTCTAAAATGGTGCCTAATGGGTTTGATAGGTTGGTTATGATCAAGCCTTTCACTCTAATGTTGGCCTCTATTGCTGTGTTGTATGCTTCTTCTAGGGCTTCTATGGTGATTTGGAAATTGTTTGAGCTCTCACAGGTAACTGGTATTATTTGAACACCGATTCGCCATCTCAAATCCTGAACAAATCTGAAATATTCCAAATGCATAAGGTATAAGTGAAAAGTAAAAAAAATTAAAAAAGATGCGACTGCATTAAGACTTACTATTTGAACACATGAGTCCATAAAAAAAATGACATTTAATTTCAAAAATACCACTGCTACAAATTATATAAAGATTCTGTATGAATAATGTTGTCAAATTTTAAAAACTAATATTTTTTTTTCTCTCATATCATTCGACATAATACGTGATTATTTTGTTAACGTCACATAAATGAGAAGATCTTTATTGCAAAAATCTATTTATGTATAAAATACTATAAAAATGATATGGCAAAGTTATTTTTATAAGTAAAATCATTTGTATGGTGTTTTATTTTAGAGCAAAAAGGAATTCTATATGAGTTTTTTATTTTTAATGTCATTACTCATATTTAATGATCTCAACATCATTAATGATCTCGACCAATCAAAATTAGTCAACTCAATCTTAAAGGTGAGTTCAAGATCCCACCTTTGCCGTTTCAGAGAAGGCAGATCTCAATCACGTAGGACTTTAAATCTCCACTTTACTAAATTGACCGACTGTAATTGATTGAGATGATTAATGACATAATAGTTCAGAACGACAAAAAATGGACTTCAAACATACCTATTTTCTAGTGTGGTCCTAAATATGGTGGAGCTAAATTCTTTGTTAAGACCCAAAGTCAGCTTGAGACTTGGACAATTTGCACAAGAGATCTATCAGGAAACTACTCAGTATTTCATAGAAAATTTCTTTGAATCTTCCAGGAAATTCAACGGTACTTTCTTTGATTCTTTCCATTTCTCTGTTTGTTTTGTCTTCTATTGCTTGACTTAAGACTAATTGCAGCTACTGTTAACAGAAAGATTTTCCATAAAGGGAAGAAGGCCGGGAAAAGGAATTTGTTACTAGATCTACATTTGAAATGGTTGCTGATCATTTACAGTTTCTGAAGAACAAATTCATCAGTGACTTTAAAGAAGCAAAGGGGGAAGAATTCGTAGAATTCCCCCTACGGCTTCATTTTGTTGAGATTTTAGAGTCTTGCATCAAAAGAGGATTGACCCCTGGACACCCATAGGACTGGAAGATCCTCTGCATGACCTCAAGTTTGCATTGGCTGATTGTGTCATGTTAGTAGAGAAGGAGAGAGACCGCATTACCGAAAACAAGAAAAGTTTCTTATTAAGCTCTCATCATTATGTCAAGAAGCAATGGTTTCTTTTCAAGATGAAGAGGAAACTTCCCTGCATCAAAAACGAGTTGCTGCAAAACATGAGCGATGTTGACGTTGCAGACATTGCAGATAAGAGGCTTTCGTCCTCGAGCTTGATTAGGATTTGTCGACCAACAGACTTTCCAGATTTCAATCTCACTTTGATTCATGGTTTCAATAATCATTTGCAAAAGATGGAAGCTTTGCTCCTAACTACTACATCTGATACTGATAATTTCAGTGCAATTGGTATCGTAGGGAGGATCAGGTAAAACTGCTCTTGCTCAAATGGTGTTCCATAGCTATAGAGTCCAAGAAAGTTTCTCCTCAATGTTATGGGTTGAGTTACCTCAACATCCGGATCTAAGATCCGTTGTCTTGGCTATTCTTGAATGCTTGGCAAGTGATTTCTCTTTGTCTGGCAACACTTTTGATCTTGATGATCATTTGCACAATATGTATCTTTACTTGTTTAATAAGAAGTATTTGATCGTGTTGGACAACATGTGGCCTGCTTCAAGTGATGATTTGGATTTCAACAAGAAGCACATAACTCCACTCTGGAATGGATTGCCGAGGGGAAGTGGGGGTGCAAAAGTAAAGAAAAAAAATTGATTCTTGTTAGTAGATATTTTAATATTATAATGTGTTATAAATTATATTGTGTGCTTGGGTTTCAAGCAATTTGTTCTTCAAGCTACCTTTCTTTGCCTCTAAGAAAAGTTTTTTTTCCCTCCAAGTTCTCTTTTCTTTTCCTCCAAGTATTGTTGTCCACCAAGTAACTCTTATCTTTTCTTTTCCTTCAAGTATTCTTATCTACCAAGTAACTCTTATTTATTTATTTTTCCTTTTCTTTTTCCCAAAGTTTTCCTATCCTATAAATTGAGCTAACCTCTTATCTTGAAAAAAAGAAGTGTTTGTTATTTTATTATTTTTATGTGAGATTATCAGGAAAAGAATAAATGGTGTATGTGATGAAGCTTTGGATTCAACCAATTATGCAGTATTGGTGAACCATACGACTTAGTCGGGGTGTTGTATCCTGGGGGAAACAAGTCAAGGTTTTTTCTGCTACACTGGTGTGTGGCTTTGCCTAACTGCAGAGGGCTTGAATCTCCTTAAAAAGAGCGAATTTCCCGCACCTCAACCCTTCAATAGTTATTGTAATTTTTATTATTTGTATTTTCTAGTGTTTTATTTGTAATTATCACCAATAATTCTTTTATATAATTTTTTGATGAGTGATGCTATGTGAACAACAAAATTTATATATAATTTTTATATATAATGATGTGGTTCATTATGAATCATTTATTTCAAAACAAAACACCATTGAAGATATATTTATTTATAATAATGGCATTATCAGATATTTTTGTAAATTTTTTATATAAATTTCAGGGGAGAAATATCAAATTAGCGTAAATTTATAAAAATAAATTACAAATCAGTGAATTTTTTTTTATAAATATTAATAATTAAAATTGTATTTTTTTTTTTATGAATTTGTAATTTTTTTCTACAATTTTACTGGGTTGTAATTACCGCTAAATTTTATGTATCAATAGAATTTTCATTTTTTAATATTTCAACTTTTTAAACTTTTAACTTAGAAAATGGATTATTTACACGAAGTTCTCTAAACTATTGAGAAGTGTTACTTTAACCTCCTAAACTATAAAAACGTACAAATAGAGACTCCTTAAATTATTAAGAAATATCACTTTGCTTTATAAATTATAAAAACATACAAATAGATCGTTTAAACTATAAAAACATATCAATTGGACCAATAATGGAAGGGATCAAAGTGAAATACGTCAATAATTTAGGGGTTCATTTGTATGTTTTTATAATTTAGGGGGTAAAGTAATACTTTTCAATAGTTTAAGAGTCTATTTGTACACTTTTATAGTTTAGGAGGTCAAAGTGATATTTCAATAGTTTAGAGGGTCTCTATGTAAATAATCTTAAAAAAAAATTCATTGCCAAACGAACTCTTAAAAAATATGGCAAGTTACGGAGAGAATCAAAGGAAATTCTCTGAAATAGTTCATCTCTACTATGCATAATCGATTTGGAAAAGGTTTCTCTCTCTTTGGAAATTATATATATATATATATATAACATAACTTTCTTCACCAGTAAAATTTTTGTAATTCTTAAGCCCAAATCGATCAATTCAACTCTTTCAGTTTTGTGTTTCGAAAAAAAGTTCATTCGATTCTGTAGTTGTTTTTTTTTTTTTGGTTTTGTTTTTCCACTTATGATTATCAATCAATTATAATTAGTGAAACCCTTGCACAAGTGTACTAGTGTTGTTTGTATGACTATCACTGGAAGCTGAGATATAGTAATCTTCCACGACTTCAGGGCCAACAATGAGTTTGGAATGTGCACAAAAAGTCTAGGGCTCCATCATTCTTGATTGGGTAAATTACCCTCATCCACCTAAAGTTTGAAGAAAATAGAAGAAGTTTCACATTTTTTATAATTATACCACTCTCTTTTTAGTTTGATTAAAGCAACCGAAACTAATGTGTAAACGATGAAATAAATAAAAATAAAAATATATTTTAGTAAAAAAGATATAATAATATCTTTTTTTTTAAACCTTGGAGAGGTGAGTGTAATTTGCATTTCTCAATTTGTGTAGTTGGTCTGATAGTACATTTTTTTTTTTTTTTTTTTTTTTTTTTTTTTTGAATGGCGTTTCTACTACCAACCAAAGCCAACCCACACAATGACACACACACACCAATGGCCACACCCACAACACTCAAGCATTGAAATAATATAATTTTTATATATAATAATAATTTATAATAATTAATTATATAATTTTTATAATTTTCTTTTTGGGTAATTAATATATATAACAAATGATTTTACCAATTTTTTTATTTTTAATTTGACAAAAATACAAATTTAAGGAATATTTTTAAAATTAAAAAAAATTATCTTAAAAAAATGTAAAATTATATGAAAATAATGAGTATTTTTTTATTTCTTTCACCAAACTATTTTGAAAACTCAACTAAATAAAGCCTTAACCGTTCAAGTGTCAACTATAAAATCGCATATTTAGACCCTCTTCAATTGTAATATTTATTATATTACTTTTACCTACCAAAAGGGAAATTTGTACATTTTTTTTTATATATAATTGAAGGATTAGTGTACGGTGTTGTAGTTAAAGGGTTAAGTGATATTCACTATTTAGTGATAGTTGAAGGGCGTATAACCCATCATTTAACTTTCTTGTAATAATAATGCTAGATCCCTTTATTTATTATCTCTAAATCACCCCTAATGATGTGACATTGAACTTAAATCCCACAGAATATTTGACAAATTAAAATTTGACACTTGTTAGGCATATCATTAAGATGATTTTTAAAAATAATAAATTAGGTGTCTCAAGTATTTTTCTTCTCATAATTTTGTTGATTTTGTTCTCACTATAGTCTACATATAGGATTAATGGGCAAAACACTTCTCTTGCATGCCAGAAGATGGTCTACAATGTGTTGAGTAATACTGTAGTGCTACAAATAACTAGCTAGGTGAGTTCGATGACTCAGCTCCCTCTCGAAGGATATTTAGGGTGGTTTGAGATGTTTTAAATAAGTGTATTTTTTGACTTTTTATAAAAAAAAAATATATATATGTAGAAAAATAGAAAAAGTGAGTAGAAAAGTAGAGAGAAGATGTTGATAGATATTGATTGATGTGACCCAAATAAGTGTATGTATATATAAAAAAAGTATACTTTTTTAATACATGCCAAACACTTACTTAATGGGTTAACTTATTCCTTTTACAGCTTCGGATTATTCTTTGCTTTTCACTCTCTTTGTGTCTATCTAAATTATTGTGTATCCATTTACAATTAAAAGAGAAGCAAGGAGAGATGGTGGATTTGGTAATGTATTACAATGAAACAAAGTAGGTTATATTCTTTTTCTTTACTCCCCCCCTATTGCTTGCTTTTTCTTTGGTCTCTTGTCTTTGGATATGTCAAGTTCTACTTTGTAATTCATTACTCATCATCAGTACTCTTGCTTTTTCTATTTTTGTTTTTTGGTTTTTGTCTTTGATGCCAAGTTCTCTCTCTCCCTTTTTATGTTTGAGCATAATAAAACAAGAGATATGTTATTCCTACTCTACTTCGCACTTCAAAATTAGTCTTCTAATATACATGAAAATTGTGCCATATCTAATTTGGTGATTAAAAATAAATTTTGGATTAAATTTATAAAGAAATGGAGTGTGAATAATAGTTCTCTGAAACAAACACAATATGTCAAAATCAACTGAAGTATATATCAGTTGGATAAAACTAGCATGTGCTTTGTACTTGTACTTCCACTAATTGTAATATAATGAGGCATCATCTATGTAAAATATGAGAGAGTGATACTGAAAGAGCAAGTAAGCTCTATAATTCAATGTGTATAGAAAGAGTAAGAAGAGGCTCCATTATATAGGAGCTGCTACACAACATCATCATGAGATACAAAACATATAAAAAGGAAAAGAGACCGAAAGCAGAAGAATCCTATTCTAATCCTATATCTAGCTG